ATTATTATATAACGTAAGTAGTAGTATATATATATAATTAATATATTATATATACTATATATATATATATATATATATATATNTTGTAGTANACACACACACATATATAAATATATACTTATATATATGCAAGTGTATGTATATATATATATATATATATATAATTATATATGTATATATACATATACATATATATAAATGTGTGTGTGTGTGTGTGTGTGTGTATGTGTGTTTGTGTATGTGTGTGTACCATTCTCGTGCTGAGTAAAGACCCTGCCCGATTCGAATGCGTATACGTGGTTGGTTTATTTGTGCTGTATCCGATGTGCGGATACTGTTATGACCATCTACCTAATGCTGTGTTTTCGACAGTGGAGATATTTAAAGTGCTTATATACAAACTGTGGTTAATGTATTACCTTTATTTGTAATATTAGTAGATAATGTTATGACATGTAAGAAATAGAAGTATGGAATAGAACTCTCGATGCACCACCATTAGTGATTGTATTTGAACACGGAAAAAAATTCACAATTATCAATATAGCGTTGTAGTTGCAAGCAGCAAACATCCCGTGAACTAGGCAGAGAACAACGTTTCAGATGTAACTAAATAGTGATTTATATCGCATATCACAGACTCCCGGTTCATGCTAATCTCGAACTATGCACACGCGCACACATCTGCACAGCTATGTGGATTTCCGTTAGCATGTGCGCTATATATGGACGGTTGAACGTTCATAGTTGTAGTTGCACGTGCTCACGTGTCACAGGGGAAATGAGATTTAACCTTGTAAGACATCCGTGGATGTGTTAAGTTACAATCTAAATATCCAACCTGCCCTACAGTATGAACCGACACAAGTTTAAGTTTTTCTGGCCAAAACATATTTTTGAACCCACGAACCAGGGTGCGCGACGCATAGTTTGCTCACTTGAATAACTCTTTATCACCACAATTGGGTTATAGGGGGCAGTACAGACACACCCTCGACAGAGGAAGATCTCATGAAGACCACAGAACCAGCGATCCCGGTACAACCCGAGAAAGCGCCAGAGCCAATAGAACCGCAAGAAGCTGCTCCAGAACCACAAGAAGTTGCGCCGGAGGAAAAGGAGACCACTACTGCGACAGAGGAACTGGTTACGGAACCTACATATACGCAAGAAGAGATCAAAGGAGCGGTAGAATCAAAACAAACAGAGCCACAACAAGAGAATACCGCCACAGGAGGAGAAGCCGCTGCTGAGGAATTGGTGGCTACTGAAGAGGAGAAAGCCTCTGAGACTGCATCGACTGAAGGTGGGGAGTTATGTGCTAGTGTGTTAAAGCTCAGCCTGTTTCGGATGCATATATGCAGACGAGTACGCGACCACATTGACGTATTTAGAATAAGAATTCGGATAGACCAACTATTGCCATTTTTTCTCAGACTGTTTCGCTACAATTGGATTGGTTGTGTCTACGAACATCCGGAAAGTATCCTGCAATCGACTGCACATAACATGATAAGTCTCATGATCGACCACATATTCACAAGTAGTACATTTAATTGAACGCACATGATACTTGGTACTTAGACTCGAACTCACAAGTTTTAGACTTGAACACACAACTGTATCAAGTATTTCCTATCGAGCACACAGCCATAACAGGTACTTAGACTTCAACACACAATCGTAACAGGTAGTTCTATCCGAACACTTATCCATAGCAAGTGCTTCCAAACGAACACATTTGTAAACAGTACTTATATTTGATCACCAACTTGTATCTATCAAAACCACAGCGGGCGAAGCCACGGCTGCGGCGGAAACCACTGCAACGGCTGATTCATCAGACGCACCTGCCATAGATGTGGACTATCTCGTGTGCAAGAACCCAATTCTGGACACCAACAAATTCAGGGATGGGTATGTACAGGCTTTGGTTCTTCGAAATGCAAGGCAATGGAAATGGGTGATTACTAGGTCAATATGGCGCATCGGCAACTGTAGCTGAGGTAGACCATTTTGTGTGCAAGCACTCAATTCTAGACAGCAGCAGATATAGGGATAGGTGGGTGCAGGCTCCATAACAGTATGAAAGTTCGGCGAGAGCAACTATTAGGATTGTACGGTACATTCGCAGTTGAATCATGTGTGGCTTGTCCTTAGTGCAACCCCGCGGTAGTGAGCACTATCAAATACAGAGACGGTCAGAACAGAGTTGGTTTGAAATGTAAGATGGCTCAGAGAGGGTGATTACTAGCTTTGTATGGACTGTTGGTAATTGCTGTAGGTGTGGATTTTGTCCCGTGCAAAGACCCGATTATGGACAGCAACAGGCCAGGAACAAATATATAACAAGTATCATTAGAAATATAAGGAAATTGAAAATAGTGGATAGGAACTTTCCATCTGCATGCACTTTATGTCACTTCCATATGCTTTCGATGCATACAAATTCATTGTAGTGTGAAGCAACTTCTTTGTAGTGTTCACAAATAATTTGTTTCTCGTATATATTCTGGCTTAGCTTTCATTATTTTGTCTATAAAAAAATTTATCGCAGGAAGGTGATCTCAACAGAGAAGTGGAAAGTAGTTCAAGCGAATGTGCTTCAAAGGCACTTTGACCGATGGATGTACGCCCATGATATCCTGGACAACAAATGCTGGCCTCACCAACTGAACTCCACGCAGGACACCATGGAAGTAAGTGTTATATGTATATATGTGTGTGTGTATGTATATGTGTATATGTATATATATATATGTGTGTGTGTGTGTGTGTTGCTTGTTTGTTTGTTTGTTTGTTTGTTTGTTTGTTTACATATCCATGATTTAAAAAGACACCGGATTGAATCCCTTTTGTCGCCATAGTTTGCCATGCCTTCCTGGTTTAGAACGTGAATCCTTGGTCTCTGATATAATCTGTCTAGAAAAAACGATTCAATACTCTTCTGTATCTGGCGGATTGTCAGATCACTTGAAAAGATGCTTATGCACCCCATACCATGATAGAGTATGAATAGTTAACTCGCGAACTTTCTAGTTCTTCGCATCAATGCGAAGCTACTGAGAAACGATGTCGAAAGTACAGTCAGAACATCCCACATCACCTTTCCTGTCGTCAGCGTAGAGTTACAGTTACACCGCGGATGAAATTGAAAGTATTTTCATATCACACCTGCTTCCTTATCTACAGCATCAATACGGAAATACTGATAGCATATGGAAAGTTAAAGCATTAAACTCCCATTCCACCTTTCATATTTTCTCTATCAATGTGAGCTTACTGATACACTATTGAAATGCACAGTCTTAACACATCACGACATTTCTCTCATCTACAGCATCAATGTGAAGACACTGAGCGCAGTTCTATCTGGAATACCAAGGACTTTATTGGCGATCCATATGCAGCTCCAGAGAAAGGTGAGCATCGTGTTGTGCGATTGTGTGTGTCGAGTTTGAGGAGTGTTTTATTGAAAAAATTGTGTTTAATTTGAATGTGGTGGTGGTTCATGACTGCACATACATCTAACAGGTGAACGTCAGCAAATGTGTATACGTATACATATACATGTATAAAAATATAGTTATTCATCTATTTCTTTACCACAGCTATACATACCCCCTGACAACTTCGTTCTTATGACATATTCTTCGTAATTTCTAATAGTTACTGCAATGCGAAACAGTTGACGCCACAAGATATGTACTATATATTGTATGTGTCTACAGCCTCGTAACAAACTACGCATCTTTCTCGACAGTCACGTTCTCACAACTTCTACCCGATTCGCACAGGCTATTGCAATGCAAAGCAGCTGACACTGCAAGGTGCCACCCATGCCGAGAAACTGGGCGGTATGCTGAAACACGCCTATCTGAATACGGATACGGAAAGCACAGGCACACCCCTGTTTGAGGGTCTATGTACACCTGAGACAGTCTCCTTGTCCAGCGAAGATGCACTGAAGAACCAGCTGACACTGCAGAGTGTGTACAAAGGCCTCTGTGGCGATTTGCCGACGGTGGAGGCGTATCCTGCGGCCAAGGTGTGTCGGAGTGCGCGGATGGTATCTACTTTTAAAATGTAAATGTACCTGTGTATTTGTGTACAAGTACTTAGACGTTTTTGAGGGTGCATATTATTCGTGACTGATATAGTATTTGTGTCTGATCGATCATTGGAGTATTGCGTAGAGCCAGCTACACAAGACGATGACTTATATGCGTACACACCTCATCACAACAACCTCTGTGATTCACTGACTGTGCAGGTGATATCCGACGGAACCCCTAAGCGCAGCACGCCGTTCCACATCTACCCAAAAATCTGCAATGGTACTCAGCTCGCGCGCCTCAACAAGTTAGGGCAGGAGGTGAAGACGACGTCTGCCATGTGGGGCGAGATCTCAGATGTGGCCAAGCAGGTGGCTACCATTGCGGACCACACGAAGACAGTCGAATCAGACACGGAGCGGTCGGCAGGTAGGTAGATCCATTAATAGAGTATTCTTGGAGGGTATGATTCATACGAATAGTCTGTGTGGAGTGAGATCTCGGATATGGCCTTCGAGATGGCTACTGTTTCCGACCACAAAGGCGGTCGAGACGTGCACAGAGCGCTCTGTAGATATGTATATCTATTACAGTTTATTGTTCTTGGTAGATAAATTTCCTTATAACTATCTCGGTTAGGTTCAATGAATGAAAAAAGTCTTCGTTGTAGGTCAAGGCTACAATTATGGCCCTGCAGGTGGCTCGCATTGCTGACCATTCTACAGCGGTCCAGGTGGCTCGCATTGCTGACCATTCTACAGCGGTCCAGGTGGCAGATCACGGAAACATGTCGTTTTATATATCAAGTACATAGCCTACTCACTGCAATAGAGTATGTACAAACCGTTAACAACCACTTCATCTGTATCGGATTAACCAACCAGATTTTCTGGATGTCGTATAGACCTACATGGTATCATTGCGTTTCATGGTCTATCTAACTAACTATCTATCTATTTTTCTCAAATACACCGCTGCCACATAATATTGGTGTACATACGTACCGTTTAATTAATCCTTCCACTGTGTATCGGATTAATTAGAGCTACTGGATGCCGTGTATGACTGCATGGTGTCACATGCGTGTCATGGCCTCGGGGACACGCCCGAGCAATTGGCCAACCTCCACACAGCAAATGCCATAGATGAATATGAGACTAAGTCGTAAGTCTGCCTTTTTTGTGTGTTTAATTGTCGTATATATTTTGTTTTGCGTTGACGCAAATGTCGACAATCGATATATATTTGTTTATTTGTCGTACATTGAATCGTGAGTGTCAATTTCTCGTCCACCGATCGCTGCATGCAGACACTCACAATCGTCTACACACATATATCTCCAAACAGGCGGACGTTCACATTTACATATCTGAAGGAACAAAACCAGACAGAACTCGAACTCTACAGGAAACTCACGTTTGGCTACTACTTCAGAGTATGTGCCTTGTGCTCTCGTTTATGATGAGTCTATATATATATATATATATGTATGTATGTATGTATATATGTGCGTGTGTATATATGCATATATAAATATATATATATGTATGTAAATGTATGTATATATATATATATATATATATATATATACTATGTAGTATGTATGTATATATATTTATATTTATGGGTATTCGTAAACTGTTTGAATTCGCACATATATATCTATATATATATATGAATACATATGTATGTATATATTTATATTTATGTATATATATATATATATATGTATGTATGTATGTTTATATATATATATATTGCAAAATTTGTCCGTTAGTACGGATATAGATGGATTTGTGGATATGTGTGATATCCCAATCAATACTCGACCTGCAATATAATTCTCGAATCTATCCGTCGTGGGCAATTCTGTTCGGTTTAGGATCATTCGCTCGTGAAATTTCATATGCTGCATATTCAACGCTTTTAAAGATCACATTGGATAACCGTTCGGATTCAAAATATTCTTGAAATTCGTTTCTGCACGACAGTTTCTGATGGATAAAATGATGGATGTAACTGAGAAAGCCAAAGGACCCAAACTATCAATCGAGGTATGATTAATTCAATACATATTCCATGTGGGCAACAAATCGGTATATAAGAATATTTTTGAGGTCGATAATAATTTCAGATATGTACATTGCCATTGTAAAAATATAACCCAGTGTGATTGATAATACCTAGGCAATATATTTTGCTGTTTTTAGCTACGGGCACGTCTTTGCTAGTAAATATGTATGTATTTATCTGTTTTTTTTTGTCTGTATGTATCTGTTTTTTATGTATGGATGTATTTCTTTTTGTAAATCGAATTAATCGTCTTTATGGTAGTTCCAATATTTTGCAAACATCAATTGATGCTCACATTCTGCACGGAAATATATATAAGTCTGCTCTGAAAGCGATTATATTTTGATTGGCCATGCATCGTGGACTACATATCAGTCGTGTTGCGCATATATATATATATATGTTTATATGTCTATATCTATATCTATATATATAGTCATACATGCCCGAACAATATTTTACCTGCTATCTGGAGAGACCGAGGTTCAGTGCCTCTCATATGCACCCATAACATCATATATATATATATATATATATATGCGCATCTCAACATGCAGAGTGTTTGTAGTAAGGCCTTTGTTAGATGCATATATTTCTGTGCTGCCTCCTCGCCATGTGCGGGCAAACGCTGACTTATTGTTGTTGTACAATATCGATAAATCACTTATTTATCTGCACTTCCATTTCTACAATGCACACCTTGTGTAACTCATTAATGTTTTGTCTTACTTATACAATTAATAGCTTTTATCGCCCACTCATTGGCCTGTTCGGTCGCATACTGTCACGCCCTATCTTGGTGAGGATTTCAATATGGTCAGCCATATTCTTATTCTTCGCTCGAGCGCCGTGCTTCTTACGGCTGATTACATCAAACCCTTCACGTATTTGGTCACATTACACATATAGCCGCTCACTTATTCCGTTTTATACTTAGAGCTTATTCTCACCACCTCATCTCTTATTCCGTCATGTCCTCTTCGTATGTATACAGGTGGTTGCAGATTCCACTCTCACGACTGTCTTGGCTATGCTGAGCGCTAGGGATTCAAAGACACATGAACACCGCCCACCATGGGGAAGCACCATAGTCTTTGAAGTGTATCAGGTAGTCGAAGTTTGTAGCTAATTTATTATAAGTATCTCCCATGATTCTGGTACATGCTATTACATGCCAAAGCAATATATATATATGTATATCTATTTATTTGTTTATTTGTTTATTTATTTATTTATTTATTTATTATGTATATATATATATATACATATATCGACTGTAACATTCAAAAACCACATATGCATATATATATATATATACATTATTATGTAATAGTTTTTGTGAATTATCGAACTGAGCAAATCTGGGGGGTTTTTTACCAAAGTAGCGTTATGTGAGAAGGTAAATAGCATCTTGAAATTCGGTTTCGTTATCACAGCTGAAGTATTTTTATTAATCTTTAGTTGTTATCGAGTATGATATGGTTTCCTATTCAATCGCATCGCTGTTCTCATAAAAGGCAATGTGCAATGGTTCTACTATATGTATGTAGTACTAATAGAATTCATTGTACATTTTATATCTCTAGAGTGTTGATACTTCAGCAGAGGCTGTCAGCGACGAGGGCACCAACGTGGTGAAAGAATATGCCGTGGGGGTGACCTACAACGGCAACTTGCTCGATGTAAGGCCTATACGTTATTCTTCGTATTGGCTTGTGGGAGTTATATGCTGTACGACAACGCATGTTATGATACTGTTCGTATATGTTCGTTCTGTCTGTCCGACATTAAAGCTGGAGTATCGCGGCATAAACTAATTAGTCTTATTGTATATCGTTCGGGATAGGTGTGTAACTGTTAGATCATCAATATCACTCCATGCCAAGAGTGCTGAACAAACAGCTGTTCTGTGTGCGTTTGTCACATATAGCCTCTCATACTTGACCACTCCTGTGCTGGAAAAAACGTCAGTTGGGTGCCTATACCAGTATTCCTTGTCGTTTAGTCTAGACACCTATATATTCAAACACCCTCACTCCGTGAGCTCTCAGGTCAGTGAACCTAACGAGAATCAGGGCCTACTTGACTGCGCGCATTGCACATGACAACGCAAATAGTTGTCCTGAATGGACAGTGATTCCGAATCCGCTCTCCTTTCTTTTTGAGGTGATCTCTAAGTGAGCTATTTATGAATCATCACATATACCTATGCAGTTCTTTTATACCCAAACACCCTCGCCCCCTTGTACTCTCAGGTCTGTGAACCCAACGATAACGCAGACTTACCCGATGGTGCATGCACATGGCAACAATGGATGGAATTGGTAGAGGTACTCAGCCCTTCGCCAGAGGAATGTCCCACCTTCTACATATACTATGGGAAAGTACAGTGAAAGGTATAGTGGTCATCGACCAGCAAGAAGACAAGCCCATGTTGGGAGCTTGTACATATGAGGAGACAAAGCAATGCATATATCAATAAATTTAGTAAGGAGCACATGCGGGACGGTCATTTGCTGAAACCTGTCCTTTATACTCAAATTTTAGTTACTGCATACGCTGCAGTCTCCGATGGCCTGGTAGTGATTCGAATGTTGGTATATTATTAGTATGGAAATCTGGCATCTCTGTACCATGCCGGGTTAAAACTGTCGAATCGTGCTATGCAAATAACTGTTCGTAGTACCAAATAGACGCGTGACTTCACTGATTTGATACCCATTGGGTATGTTCATTAGCCCCATTAACCTCAAACGCTACAGTACAGTTTTTTGCTTCCATTCTGCGACCAATCTATTTGTTTCTAGGGCTCGGTTTCCTAGAGTTCGGTCGACAGCACCGAGTATTCCTCTTACTAGATTGCGATAATATAGGGATATCAATATTTCTTACGGGTTTTTGGAACAACCTGGTAATTAGCGAGTCCTCGGATCTGAAATCGATAGACACTGCTGCTATGGAAGTTTATGTAAATACAGTCTTAAAGCGTGCACTATACTAAGTTATTTTCTATCCTAGGATCATCACAGGTCGATTGAGCCAATATCGGATTCAGACAGTTCAGATCCACAGTCAGGTCTGTTCGCCTTTCGAGCTCTTAGTGACGATTTGCTGCTCTGTAGGTTTGATGTGTTCACCTCGTAGTTGCCGATTTTGAGTTTCGATGCGGAGTTGAGTTCTGAAGCGGTTTCATCTGGGAGTTGGCGCGATATAGTAAGGGACGTTGCAAAACTGTGGGGATCTTCCTTACTGCAGGTTCGAGCGCTTTTTGCAGTAGATTCCTTTCCGAACCACAGCATGAAGAATGGTGGGCTGGGAGTGTAAAGCACAGTAGGAATGTGTGGCCAAGCAAGGTTGGTTGGGGTGACGAATGTACCGAGCAGTTTATCCCAAAGAGAGAATCGCTTGCCGAAATTTCCGATATTGTGTGTGTGGTGGTGGTTGTGGTCGATGGCGCGGAGTTCGATGCCAAGTAATCTGGTGATGAGTGAACTGGAATTAATATTATTGATTCTCCGTGCCACGATGGATAGGTGCGACTTCTATATGGACCAATCCCATCCGCCAAAAGCTCGAACCTGATAACAGTACGACTATTTTTAATATCACTTGAATACAAATTATGCAAAGTTATCAACATTTGGTATCGAGTGTGGCTTACCTGGGAACTTGTATCAGTATTGTGAATGACGATTCACCTGTGACAGATCCGGAGTGACCCGCTGAAAAATGCATTATTATTATATTTTTTTAACAAAATTACGACGCGGTTTGCCATGTGATGGATATACACATGGAATGCGCTTTCGAAAATGGGTGAAATGTTTCATTTAGAAGGCTATGGAAATATGCAGTATTCAGAACAGGTGGAGTGCGGATGACTTTGCTTACCCAGTTCACCAAGGACTTTGTACGCCATCATGAGTTGGAATTCGAATTGCGAGAACTGAGGCACCACTGCCAATTTGCAACAAGAGACGGTCGTTGGTTCGATGGTACGGTAGTGTCAGAATTAGAAAGGTGCAACGCAATTAAAGTACCTTACAAAACATGTGTTATCAACTGAGTCTTTTTTAAAGAGATTTGCAAGGCAGTACTTTCAGACCATGCCCACATTCAGGTATATGGAAATAATGCAAAAACACATACGCAAGCTGCTTGGGTTAATGCAAAAGCACATACGCAAGCTGCTTGGGTGACTTACGCATGCAGGCTAACACGCACGGAACAAAATTGTTAAGTGCAACGTCTATTGGATTCTGGAGATGTGCGCTCAATACGGTGACATAGCGGTGCCTGTGGTGTTCCTTATGCGCCAATCTGTAGAGCCAGGGGTACGCATGTACGATTCTGTGTGCCGCGTAGAAGCCCAAGTCAAACAGTATTTCCCACGCGAAGAGTTTTGCCACGAAGTGTACCACAGATAGCAAACCTGTACTGTAACCTAATCAAAATTTTACGCGTTTCGTCAGCAGAGACAAGCAAAATCGACATGTGGCTGGGTACAAGCTTGGTCCTAAGTGCTGGGCATGCTGAAGATATTTGTCTCAGAAAAGAAATGAACAAACATTCGAACCTCAGATCTATGACTATTTTGATCGCACACATACTAAACATGGCATCACGGTAAGAAAGGTCCAGGCGAGGTTTGCGTTAGTAATGAAGGTACCTGATCCGTTCGTGCTTGGTGGGACCGCGGCGAATCCGACAAAGTGCATAACAGCATATTCCTCTAGAGTATCCACAACACTAGCGATTGGGAATAGACAAAGGGTGTGGGTCTGAGTTACCTTACCCAACACGAATTACAAATGTATTCAATTCACTCGTGAATATAGCTTTTCACAAAAAGGTACACATGTATAAACTTCAGTCGAGCGGAATATTATACTGGAATACTGTACAAATACAACCCTGAATTCTCACCAATTTACAACAAGCATCCTCAAGAGTAAGTTGAACACTTCGCTCCACGCCAACTCTGTCGTCTCCGGTGGGTTGTAACTTTTCATCGTTTTAGCCCACAGATACACGGTGGCTGATAAAGCACAAATTTGAAATTGTCAAGGTATTCGGTGTATATGATATCATGAACGTGTTGTGTTAGTGCCAAATATCCTGCATGTTGAGCAGGAGGCTAACGGGTCGATAATCACACGCATGCTATGCAAAAAAAACGGGAAAAACAAACACTTTTTGCCATATCAGGTGTTGCAAGCGACATACCAGTGGCAACTATGTCTCGCAACAGGGAAGCAAGGTAAATCATAGTAACCTCCGACCGGTGGCTGCACGGTTGATCGGAACATCTCATCGAATTGGCGACAGTGTAAGTGAGTGTAGCTATCAGATAGGCTTGAGCATTAGCACCGATATATTGTACAAGCTGCAAGTGGAGACCTACTGGTCTCGCCGTCCTCCAGGCTTTAGCGGACGATGTATGTTTCAGTTCGGGCTCCGCAGCTTCCAATAAAACTGACATACTGCGCTACGCTATGATCGCAACCTAATGTATAAGATTTTATCATTGCAAGGCGGTATATATAAACAATATATATAAACACGCATTCGTTGGTTAGGGATACATAATCAGATCCTGTCGTGAACACTGCTATCGTCCACAAACAAGCTGGAAATGCCCTCGATTTAAAACAAAACATAAAACTGTAGCATGTTGGATCAAAAAAATGTGCCCCGGTAGATTGTTGGGATGATATGAATATTCCGAGTTCTATTTGTTTTGAAACAAATGTGTTTCTCAACAATGCAAGTGGCTAGTGGTTGGCAGCGCTGATTACTATCGGTAGGGATGGTATCCCAACAGGGACAATTTCACATGATTTAATCGAATTTGGACACCTGTTTGAACCTCTGTGAAAGATATATTTAATACTACTAAAGTGGATATGCTATGTGAATCGTTCACATGACACATATGAATCATCTGCCTATTTGTTGAAACTGACAGCTGTTTGTTCGGCTGCGGTGCTTGTTGCACGAAGTGTGCATTCAGAAGTCTAATACACTAAACGACTCATAGCTCTTAGCCAATAGGCAGTGAGAGTATCTGTACTAAATAATTGATATTTGCGTATCTTGTAACAACATGAGCTTTATTTCGAACATTGCAGATAAAAATGCTAAGTTGTTAAAAATCACAGATTCAAGTACAACCTCGCCTACTAGTAGACGATGACCAATATGTCAAAGAGCGATGAAGGTATTTTAAAATTTTAATGACTATACTCAAGGTCTCCTAAAGGTCTCAAACTGTAACTAAAAAGTAAAAAGTAGGCGTTTCTTCAGACTTCATGACTCATCGAAATCGCTCTCGGACTCTGACATTTCAGATTCAGCATCAATTACTCTGCTTGTCCTCTGGAATCTTAACGACGGCCGCCTGCCGTAAGATCTATAAATCTTTTCTGCGTCGGTCTTAATTCCAGTTTTGGACTCAAGTTCCAGAAGTTTCTTATCGATACATTGGCGCGAGGTGAGTGACGTCGCGAAACTGTGGGAACCCTCCTTGCTGCTATTTCGAGACTTTTTTTCAGTTGGTGCCTTTCCGAACCACTGCATAAAAAATGGTGGGCTGGGAGTGTAGAGCACAGTCGGAATGTGTGGCCAAGCAAGGTTGGTTGGGGTGACGAATGTACCGAGCAGTTTATCCCAAAGAGAGAATCGCTTGCCGAAATTTCCGATATTGTGTGTGTGGTGGTGGTTGTGGTCGATAGTGCGAAGTTCGATGCCAAGCAATCTGACAAATGAACGGATGATAGAAGTACTGTTTAGAAGTAAGTGCGGATGATTGAAGGAATCACTACTTAGAAGTGCGTACTACTTAAGTTTCACGCACAAGGGTAGACGACATACTCCCAATGGTCGAGAACATCAGACTCTGCTATGTCTGGAGGTTCTCTATCTGCGAGACTCTTGCAGTTCCGCTGACTGTCACCTGGGATACTTGAAACCTATCATAGAATTCACCATCAACACATGTAACGGGGTGTAAATGAGACCTACCTTGGGACTTGGACCAGAATCGGAAACGAGGATTGCTCTGTTACCGCGCCAGTGTGGCCAGCTGATAAATATGATAGAGTGGAGTTATGTCAGGTGGTGGGACAAAAAAACCCCCAATTGTAAAGAATTGAAGAATCGGTTTATACGTTTGAAACCGGACTGTGCGTGACTTTGCTTACCCAATTCACCCAAAACTTTGTACGCCATTACGAGTTGGAATTCGAATGGCGAGAATCGGGGCACCACTGTCGTGTGTTGAGAAGGAGATCAAGAGTTTGATTAGTCAGGGTATTCAAAGCGTACAACGTAAACAAAATACATGTGATGAGAATTGGAGAGTGTGCAGTATATACACGTACAATAGGTGTAGTTTTTGCAATTTTTAGATACGTGCAAACTCAGCAGGCGACTTACGAAAACAGGCTAGCACGCACGGAATCAGATTGTTGAGTGTACCGTCGATTGGATTCTGGAGATGCGTGGTCAGTACAGTGACGTAGCGGTGGCTGTGGTGTTCTTTATGTGCCAATCTATATAGCCAGGGATAGGCGTGTACAGTCCTATGCGCCATGTAAAAGCCCAAATCGAACAGTATCTCCCACGCGAAGAGTTTGGCTGCAAAGGCCGGTACCGAGAGCACAGCTGCGTCGTATCCTAATCAGAATGGAGTGTGTGGATAGCAGAAGTATGAGAAGCACTGCTTTGCGAAGGGCGTGAATAGGAGATGTATATATGACTATGTCATATGTAGTCGTAGTATCAAAATTGTGGTGTATAAGAGTTATAACGGAAATATACAGTAAATCGTTGTTAAAAAAGACCGTAGCATAGAAATAGTCCAACGATTTCATACATCCGTTAACAGCCTTCTGCACAATCCCGTGCCTCCAGTGCATTATGTTTATCAGACAGGTTTTCTACTGCCTTAATCGTTTCTATTGTTCATAAACGAAGATTGTGAATACCTGTTTTATTCGTGGTTGATTGGACCGAGGCGAATCCGACGTAGTGGGTTACAACGTACTCCTCTAGAGTGTCAACAACACTGGCGAATAGCAATAGTAACAAAGTATAAATAAGATCGTAAAAGGCAGAACAAATATTAATCACCCGCTGGAGCGTTCAAGAGGATGCAATTTTTTGCGTGATGCAAGTTGACAACTATGATATTCTACTGGAAGAATGCGACTCTAAAACTCACCTATTTACGATCAGCATCTTCAAGAGTATATGGAACACTTCGATCCATGCCAACTCCGCCTTCTCCGGTGGGTTGTAGCTCTTTTTTGTTTTCGCCCATAGATACACGGTGGCTAGTATAATACACGTGGTAGAAACAAATTAGATTATGTTCCGGAGACGTATATGAATCATCAATACCTGCCCGTAACATCACATGCATGAGTGTGAAATGTGAGTGGCGGTTACATTCTAAGAAGAAGTTGTATGTAGCAGCTTCGTAAGTGGTTATATCGGAGCTATGGTCGCGTATGACATAAGAAGTATAACATACCGGTACCAACTATATTGCGCATTAGGGAAGCTAGGTAGAGTATGGTGGCCTCGGACCGATGGTCGTGCGTGTGATCGTTGCCTTTCATCAAGTATATCACATTGTATGTGAGCGTAGCTAATAAATAGGCCTGTAAATTGGCAGCGATATACTGTGTCAGTTGCAAGAGGGGGCGTGCTGGTTTCGCATTCCTCCAGGTCTTAGCTGGAGATTCGTCTTGTTGTAGCTTGGATACCATAGCTTCAGGCAGTTCTGGCATATCACGTAGCAATAGTGATGTAACTGACTGCGAGAAACGAAATATATGAGAACAAGCGTTGGAAGGTGTGCTATACAAATCAAATCCTGTCAAGAACTCTGCTTGTACCTATTTGACATACAATTTGGCCAACCACCAATATATGCCTTTTTGTGGGAACCATCATCATTTAAGCGATGCATGTTGGATATGCGGTGTACACTGCCATGATGTTGGGCAAGAGACCTGAAAACAATGCTGGGGTTAACTGTCGCATTTAGCCCAAAACACAAGGTTTTCTATTTCATTCGAAATGATTTTTTTTCCAGCAGTATACAAGTGGCAGGATATTCGTGTTTTCTATGGCATACGCTTATTCGCAATACTGAATTGTTCCTGTGTACGTTATCAAATGTGTTCAATGTGTACATCTAACACTTTAGTGATCTATTTATAGTACAATCATCAGCGGGCTCAAGAATAGCAGAAACTTACAATAATAGTCTACGATCCCGTGATTCAGTCAGTTTTTTTATATACGATTATACAGACGGACAAGGCAAGCTTGATTTGGTCTTATACAAGGTAACAGTCGCCGTAGTGAGCGATTAACTCATCCATTGACGAGGCACCCTTTCTTTAAGCGAAATCATTTCGTGACGTAGCATCCTGCAATACTGTCAAAACAGACTTACTATCAAGTGCCTGATCTCGTACGATTTTATTCAGTACATTCTCCCGTCACAGCAAGCTTTCTACGCCGAGATGTACTCATTCAACCCTTCCACTGAAGAAAACGTCGATGCTAACCACACCGTACTGTGCCTAGTCACAGACCGGTCTGAGAGCATGGAGATGATGGAAGGCGAGGTAGTGACTGGCATCAACTCGTATCTCGAAGAGCAACGGCGCACCAATGCCACAGACAACCTCAGAACAACCTTGGTCTTTGTACGCTTCAACCATATGCCTGAGTTGGTATGGTCCGGTGTGGATCTAAGGTATCTCCGCCCCGTTGTATACTCCGATGCATTGCCACGAGGGAGCACTGCTTTGCACGATGGTATTGCAGAAGGTATGAAACACACCTGTGAGCTTCTCCAGCGGTTACCAAGCTTACCCTCTAAAGTGATCATGTTCATATTAACCGATGGGGAAGAAAACTCATCCCGGTCGTGGAATGCAGACCAGATTGCACTTGATCTTAAAAACCGCTTTGGAGGCTACCGGGAAAGCCCACACTCGTATGCGCCGCGGACAGCCAAAGGCATATACTGCGGAGGATAAGTACTCCGCGATTAACTCGAATGAATTATGAATTTATTTGGATGAATTATGAACTGCATTAAATATTTACACACAGAGAGAGAGAGGTGGGGGGGGGGGGGGGGGGGATCCGGTATTCCGAAGTACATAGCAGATTTTTTCAAGCGGTCACAGCAAGAGAGAGGGGAGGGATTATGTATTCCGATGTAGCAAATTTTTCAAGCGGTCTCGGCTGTATGTACTGCTCACATATCCCTGCTGGCAGCCCGTACATAACAAGATGGATACTTGCCATCACGACGCGATGCAGCCCAACCAAGTATTATCCACGTACATACGTAAATACATAAAGACTGTCAGGATAAAAAACTCGAACATATCATACGTGAAGTCGCGAACAGGTGTACATATTTTTATCAGGTCTTAAAATACGTAATTAAAATCAGCGTGACAGCCATTTTGAAATTGTGAACACCATTCCATAGCCTTCTGAAAATTGAACAGAACGCACTAAAAAAAAAATACACACCTTCACGGATGGTAGCGCTACATAAATATAAATATACAACTTTTGAACAGTTCACAGGTCATATAACATTACCGTGGTAAATACTCTTTACGCTAGTATCTAGCATGTATCCTTTAAGCACTTTAAGTCGGCGCACTTGCCACGCCACGATGTGGTCAATACAAAGACGGCCATTGAGCTCAAATAATCAGGTGAGACTTGTCTGTATACACTACACCTGTGCATCGCTATACCCGCATGTAAGCACTTGTATCTGAGTGTTTGTTACAATACCAATAGAGAAGACTGTAGAGTTCTTCTAGCCGTGACTGAGGTATAAGACATACACTACACAAAGCATTGTACGATATTGATACCGTGTACATACTCCAAAAAATTGTTTAATGTACATATATGACTATTCACATACGAATACTTCCGTTCGTAAATGAGTGAATTTGAGCGTGAAATAACTCTATCATAGATGCGTACATGTGAAATTTAATATTAAAATGTGTGTGCATAAATATAAATAAGATCAATTTAAATACATATATAGATATTAATAGATACATATTTATTTGTATATATATATATATATATATATATGTATGTATCTATGTATCTATGT